ATGAGCCATATTAAGAAATGCATCTTTCATTTTAACCAGAGCAATGAAAGAAACATTTTGCATGTAGATTGATATGCACGGCTTTAGTAGGCATTTCACATAAGGACCCCTTTTCTGCTAATGCTCTGATAGTTTCTATCCTGGTTTTTTTCTGAATGCTTTTTATAAGATTTTAAACTGTAGCTCACTAAAGGGCTATAGTTTTCAATTTGAAAAGCTGTTGTGAAAGGTCAATTTATTTGTATCTAGAGCTTCAGAAGGCCCTCTTGCTTTCTTTTCATCCCAAGGGCTTCTTGCCACCTTTGGTTTTTTTCATGAACATCACCTTTGGTGTTTCCCTATCTCTCATACAGCCTTTCAGCTTCCCCACAAAATTATAGTTTTCAGTCTTTTTTCTATTTCAGATAACTTACTTGAAAAAGATATTGTCCTCCTAGGTCTTGGTTTTAACTGTCACAAAAAAGTCAAAGTGGGGCTCATTTATTTGACATGCATTTGTTGGGCACTCAATGTGACAGGCACAGTTCTGGACAATGGTTATAAAGTGGGAAAGTGTAAAATGTGTATAACGTCCAAATTGTAAAATGTTTCCCTCGTTGATGCTGCATTGTGGTAGCAAAGATATACATGAAACAGTCAATGACTTAGAGTGTCAGATGGTAAAAAGTGCTGTGAAGAACATAAACAGGTTCAAATTGTCAGAGGTGAATTGAGTCAGGACAGGATTTATCATTTTTTGTTTTCATTTTCAATGACTTATCATTTTGAATTGGGTGAGGACAGGATTTATCATTTTTCCTTGGGTGGTAAAGAAGGCCTCATTGGTGAGTGGCCATTGAACAGGGACCTATAAGATATGAGGAGTCATCTGTGTCACTATCTGGGTAGAGTTCCTGTCCAAATATAACTCTTGTAGGGTTGGCTTTCAGTGTTCACACTGTAACCTCATCTTTTCTTTCTCCCAGGCTCTATCTCAGTTGTAAAAGGTTAGCTTCTACTTTTTTACTTTTTCTTCTTCTGGAGGTTTGAATTACTATCAGATTTTAGAATAATATGTTATCAGGTTCAACTTTCACTTTTGTCTTCCTGAAGGAAACTTGCGACAGCAACTAAAGATCCACTTTCTGCTTATACGCTATATTTTGGTCAGTATGTGGTTAGATATTTGCTCCCAACGTGCAAGCTGTGTTAAACATTACAGTCACCTAGACACTGAAGTAACTTTCCAATAAAATGACCCAAGGCAGAGTTATATAGAAGCTGTTTATCAAATGTCTGCTGAAACAAAGGAGGAAGCAGCTTTTAAATGACTATTCCTACATGGAGGGGAATAAATTTTTCCCCTGTGAAAATTTCCTCAGAAGTACTTTCTAAACTTTAGTGGAAGAGTTTCTTGAAAAAGTATAGATACCATTGTACAACTTTAGAAACTTTGGAACATCAATAAAGATAAACCTTTTAGAAGACACATTTTAAACTTCATTTATATTAGAAGTGATCAAGAGTTGGTAATAGTTGCCAACTCATTTAATGTCTGTCAACACAGAAAAATAAGATTAGGTGCATATGTTGTACAGAATTCAGGAATAAGTTGACCCTTGAACAACATGGGGTTTGGAGGCACTGATCCCCCTTGCAGTCAAAAATCTGTGTATAACTTTTGACTCTCCAAAAACTTAACTACTAATAGCCTACTGTTGACTGGAAGCCATGCCAATAATATTATATAGTCAATTAACACATATTTTGTATGTTATATGTATTATATACTGTATTCTTACAATAAAATAAGCTAGAGAAAAGAAAATGTTATTAGGAAAATTATAAGGAGAGGCTGGGTGTGGTGGCTCACGCCTGTAATCCTAGCACTCTGGGAGGCCGAGGCAGGTGGATCGCTTGAGCTCAGGAGTTCAAGACCAGCAAGAGCAAGACCCCATCTCTACTAAAAAAAAATAGAAAGAAATTAGCTGGACAACTAAAAATATATAGAAA